ACGGTCTGAGGGACAGTGAACTGGCCCCCTGTTTTAAAAGTTTGAGGACCCCTGATTTAAGCTATTATAGGTTATAGCACAGTTTGCTTAATAACATTTAAATATAATGTCCTGCAGGAATTCTATGACGAGTGGCCAATCAAGCTGGGAGAAGTTGAGCCTTACAAGGGCCCGAAGACACCAGATGGCAGGGTACGTGCATGTGTCATCCTTGCTGTAGGCCAAGCGTGGTGCCAGGCACTAGCCCTGAGAGACCACGGTGTGTAGAGCAAAGAGCACCGGACTCGGAAGGTCTGAGGTTTAGTCCTGTGGCTCTTTGTGGGACCCCGGGGCAGTAGAAAGAGCACTGGACAAAGAGTTTGCTGAAAATGGATTTGTAAGTTATTGAACACATCCCAATTTGACATCCTAGGGCATGACACCTGTTAGCTAAGAGATAGACACACCATGACACGCAGCCCCAACTCAGCTGCGTGGCCCCTGCCTGGATTTATTGTTTAATCTTTCTGTTTCCTTTTATGCAAGGCCAGGGCTTGGGAGACCAGTGGTTCTCAACAGGGAGGGACATGTCAGAGACACATGTACAATTTTTTTGTGTGTGGAGACGGGGTCTCGCTGTGTTGACCAGGTTGGCCTCAAACTCCTGCGCTCAAGTGATCCTCCTGCCTTGGCCTTCCAAGTGCTGGGATTATAGGCATGAGCCACCCTGCCCAGACACAAATTTTAACAGAAAAAATTTAAAAGAAAAAAAATGCCCTTCTTCAGATGGATGGGACTGGAATCTCCAGGGGAGGGCTGGGTTAGGTTTGCTTTCCCCAACGACTGCAAGTGTCGTGAGCAGACAGGAAAGAGAATTGAATGGGATAGGATGTGTCCAGGGCTCAGGTTCAACATCTGCTCCGTGAAGTGGAAAGACTAGTTCTTCCAGAACCTTCCAGCTTTGGGGAGGTATCTGCCGACCCCTGTTTCTGAGCTGCCTGTTCAGTTACTCATGTGCTGGGAGAGGGTCGTGCACTCACAGTACACAGTGTACAATTGACTGAGGTTGAGAAATCACATGGTTTGTTCTAGTGAAGTCAGTAATGTCAGGTACTTGCAGACCACAAAAAGAGTTCGGATGAAAATAAAAACAGACTAGTGGATGATTTGGTAGCCCAAGACTCCCCCCAAAAGCTGTTTGGAGGAGTTCAGCTTTTTTTTTTTTTTTTTTTGAGTTGGAGTCTCACTCTGTCGCCCAGACTGGAGTGCAGTGGCCGCTCCCGGCCACCGCAGCCTCGACCTGCTGGGCTCCGGCGATCCTTCCACCTTAGCCTTCCGAGTAGCCGGAATTACAGGCATGCACTACCATGCCCGGCTGATTTTTTGATTTATTGTAGAGATGAGGTCTTGCTGCCCAGGCGGGTCTCGAACCCATGGGCTCAGGCAATCCACTCACCTCAGCCTCCCAAAGGCGTGGGATTACAGGCTGAGCCACCGAACCCGGCTGGAGTTCAGCTTTTTAAAAACTAAATTTAGACCAGGCATGGCAGCTCACACCTGTAATCCCAGCACTTTTGGGAGACTGAGGTGAGAGGATTGCTTGAGCCCAGGAGTTGGAAACCAGCCTGGGCAACATGGTGAGATCTTGTCTCTACAAAAGTTTAAAAAAAAAAATTAGCCAGGTGTGGTGGTGCATGCCTGCAGTCCCAGCTACTTGGAAGGTTGAGGCAGAAGGATTGCCTGAGCCCAAGAGGTCAAGGTTGTGGTGAGCCATTATCGTACCACTGCACTCCAGCCTGGGTGACAGAGTGAAACTCCTGCTCAAGAAAAACAAACAAACAAAAAACCTAAATTTAGTTCAGTCTTCTTTCTTTTTTTTGAGTTGATGTCTAGTCGCTGGAACTACAGGCACATGCCACCACACCCGGCTAATTTTTTGATTTATTGTAGAGATGAGGTCTCGCCAAGTTGCCTGGGCTGGTCTTGAACCTGTGGGCTCAGGCAGTCCTCTCCCCTTGGTCTCCCAAAGTGCTGGGATTATAGGCGTGAGCCACCATGCCCAGCCAATTTAGTTCAGTCTTGTACGTGCAGATAAACAGCCAATGATATTTCTGGTTTTATTACAAGCTTGTAATCAGGATATGAGTAGTTTGACAGTTTAGATTATGAAAAAAAGTTTGATTGGGAGATAAGGTACTATTTATAAGAGTTTCAAAGTTCACATACTTTGTGAAAACTGTTTTCTTTGGGAAATAGCATTATTCTCATAAACTCCCCCTTCTCTCTTAGGAAGTCAACTTTTATAAAATCATCGACTATATTTTACATGGAAAAGAAGAGATCAAAGTGATCCCGTGAGTACTGTCATGCCATGGCTGTGGGAGGTGCCGTGTTGTCTTTTTCACACAGTGCACTTCTCTAGATGGCAATGACTGTTTCTCCTCTCGTCTCCCCAAGGACACCTCCTGCTGACCACTGGACGCTCGTTAGTGGGTTGCCAACCTACGTGGCTGAAAATGGATTTGTAAGTTATTGAACACAACCCAATTTGACATCCTAGGGCATGACACCTGTTAGCTAAGAGATAGACACGTCGTGAAAAGAAGAACACACCAGATAAGGGGCCGATGAGCACAAAGGTGGGGACAACAGCCGCTGGACACTGCTGGGGGAGGGTAAGGGACACACAGCCACACACTGGACCTCAGGTCCACTGTTGGGGGAGAGAGGGCCCCCTAGAAGCCCAAACCTCACCTGTGCGCAATTTACTTATATGGTCAATTCTCACAGGGACCCCACAGTACCAAAATAAAAATTTTTTTGAGTTGGAGTCTCACTCCTTTGTCCAGGCTGGGGTGCGGTGGCACGCTCATGGCCACCCCAGCCTCGATCTGCTGGGCTCCGGCGATCCTTCTGCCTCAGCCTTCCAAGTAGCCGGAACTACAGGCGCATGCTATCACATCCCACTCATTTTTGATTTATTGTAGAGATGAGGTCTTGCCAAGTTGCCCGGGCTGGTCTCGAACCCGTGGGCTCAGGCAATCCACTCGTCTTGGCCTCCCAAAGTGCTGGGACGACAGGCTGAGCCAAAAAAAAAAAAAAAAAAATTTTTTTTTAAAAAAGAATACGCCAAATAAGGGTGAGATGACTATTTCTTGGGAGACAAATGAGAGAGAATCTTGGCTCTCAAATGTAATTTAATTGGAGACGTCAACACAGACACACAGAAGGTGCCGGAGACATGTATACACATTTTAAGAAAGAAAAAATCTGTATTAAAATTGTAGTACTCCATATATACGGACAACAAAAGATGAATACAAGTCACCGCTGACTTCTGCAATTACAAGAGGTGCTCAAAGTGGTTATCCTCAGGCTAAAAAGTAATACATAGACTACGCCGCTTCAAATGTGTGTCTTTTTTTGGCACCCCCGGCAATTAGCGCGAGAGTCATCCGTCTCTCGACTTCTTCCTCTGCAGCTGCACACATTGTCTTTAGAAATCAATGACTGGTGATTCAGTGACGAGGTTTAATTCTGTCTCGAGTACCTTGGCCGATTTTTTGAAGCATGAATGAGAGATGAGGGCTGGTGTGGGGACTTCTGAGGTCACAGTCTGGGCCTCTGCGATGCTGGCCTGACTGTCCATGCTTATCAGAGGCTTGAAGGGGTGGATGAAAGCAGAGATTGCGGATGAAAGCAGAGATTGCAGGTGAAAAGGTCAGGAAGGAGGAATAAGCTGCTTTTTGCCTTTTCTAAACACACTTGAAGGATGCTCAGCCCATCAGCTACGTAATTCATTCAAGTTAGGTCATGAAATTCATGGCTGGCACAGAAGGTTCCTTACATTCTTAGGCTACATGGAAGGTGCCCCAAAAATGTATACACGTTTTAAGAAAGGAAAACGCTGTATTAAAATTGCAATATTCAATATGTACCGATAACAAGAGGTGAATACAAGTCACGTTTGACTTCTGCAATGACAAGAGGTGCTCAGAGCGGTTCCCGTGAGCGTCCAGACACTTCTGATGACGGCGAACGACCTCAGGACGCGTTGCCGTGAGAGGCCTCCCGGGTCACACACAGGACCACGCGTCTCAAACTCATCACGCGTTTGTTAGCCGTGTCGGAGGTTCTGTTGCACACTCACGCCTCTGTTGTCGTTGGACATCCACAACGTTCTCGAATTTCAAATACCACTCCAAAATGGTCTTGCACTCCTTGAACGACACCTGTGCTTCCGCCATTTTCTTTGACTGTCCTGCCTGTCGCCTGGTGACCCTAGCATTCATTTGATGGGTGCCATCTTTTGGGCAGACATTATCTGACACGTGGCTGCCGTAATTCAATTCAACTTCAAAAAGCAATATGTAGACAACATCCCTTAAAATTTGTATATGTTTTTTGGGCACTTCCAGACACGTTTACAAAAATGTTGAAAGATTGTCACATTTTCTCTGGGATGATCTCTTAGAAAGCACTTACCTTGGGGCCGAGAGGCTGTCGGGGTTTGGTGTAGCGGTTGTAGAACCTTTGGACCTAGTTAGACTGTTAATTTTTTTTTTTTTTTGAGTTGTGAGTCTCACTCTATCGCCCAGGCTGGAATGCAATGGCACGCTCGCGGCCACCACAGCCTTGATTTGCTGGGCTCAGATGACCCTTCCGCCCCAGCCTTCCAAGGAGTTGGAACTACAGGCACATGCCACCATGCCTGGGCTTTTTTTTTTTATTGTACAGATGAGGTCTCACCAAGTTGCCCAGGCTAGTCTTGAACCCGTGGGCTCAGGCGATCCTCTCACCTTGGCCTCCTAAAGTGCTGGGATTATGGGTGTGAGCCACCACGCCTGGCCTAGACTGTTAGATTTTCGTGACTTTTGTGAGCAAGTTGTTCAGCTGTTGGTAGCTTGACCTCCCCCATGGTGGGAGTATTTGCACCCTGGTAATAGAAACTGAACAAACCAGGAGAGCTGATTTCACCAGCACCTGTCTGGAGATCACAGTTCTAGTTTCCATCCCATGAATTTGAACAAAGCACTTGACCTCTTTGGGCTTCCATTTCCTCATTTTTAAGAAGAAAAGTGCGAACTTAATCACTAAGATGTCCTCCAGCTTTAAAATGCTATGACTTCAGACAGGTACAGTGGCATATGCCTGCCATCCCAGCATTTTGCAAGGCCAAGGCAGGAGAGGATGGCTTGAACCCAGGATTTTGAGGCTGCAGTGAGCCATGATGGTACCACTGCACTCCAGCCTGGGTGACAGAGTGAGAGCCTATTTCTAATAAATAAATAAACCAACCAACCAGCAAATAAAGTGCTGTGATTTTAAGTATCTCATAGGAAGGCACAGTCTTTTATTTGTGGATATGACCCGAGGTACGGGAAATTTTTTTTTTTTTTTTTTTTTGAGTTGGAGTCTCACTCTGTCGCCCAGACTGAAGTGCAGTGGCCGCTTCCGGCCACCGCAGCCTCGACCTGCTGGGCTCTGGTGATTCTTCCGCCTCAGCCTTCCAAGTAGCTGGAATTACAGGCGTGCGCTACTACGCCCGGCTGATTTTTTGATTTATTGTAGAGATGAGGTCTCACTGCCCAGGCGGGTCTCGAATCCGCGGGCTCAGGCAAAATTTTAAATAACCCCAATGGAATGCCCTTAAGGCTGCGAGTAGCAGCCAAGTGAATCCCTATCTTGGGATAACAGAGCTTCTCTGACTTTTTCCTACTGCCCCTTAGACACCTTCTTCTAACTCAGATCCCACCTTAGAAATAAAAGGACCCTCCCGACGTGGCTGCGCACAGCGGCGGCCTCTCTAGGTGGCCTCTCCTCTCCTGGGCCTCCACCTCAAGCTGTTCTGAACTTGAAGGGGATTCCTTAGAGACTGGGAGGGTGGGAAGGCGTGGCAGGGGGTGCTCAGTGTCACCGGCCTCAGTGAGTTGGCGGCCTCGGTGGCCTGGCCAGGGCCCAGTATGGGTGGCCTGCCCGCAGGCCGCCAGGCACCATGCAATAAACCCTCACTCCCTGCCTCCCTTCTTCCTCTGCTCTGGGGTTGACATGGTCGCCACGCGATGCTTCAGGTGAACTCTCTGTGATTTCCTCTTGCCTTTCAGATCTGTAACATGCTGAACGCCCCTGCAGACGAGTACTTCACCTTCCAGGTAACCATGCCCTGGGCCACCCCCACTCAGGGCTGGGGTGGAGGCGGCTTCTCTCCCCGTCCCTTCCCCCCGTCCCCAGCCTGCCTTACGCGCAGGTGTGGCTGGCGGGCACACACAAGGCAGTGTCCGCTCGCCCTGCTGGGCCGGCGGCCACCAAGTAGCAGATCCTTCCGAGAAGGGAAGAGTCTGGGGAGAGAAAGATAAGTGAGAGGGTGATGGGAGTCCCCGCGCCTCCTCCAGGGATGCCCTTTAATCGTCCTCTCCACCCGGTGGAGACCTGCTTCCTGGAGGCCCCACCTCCATCACTGCCAGGAGCCTCTGAGCCAGCCCCCCGTGTCTGCCACCCTACCCACCCCACCGCCTTTCAAGCCTAGCTGGGGCTGTGGGGGACTCATCCCGCCCCTTCCCAAGCCCATCGGGCCCACTGGAAGGACTGGCCTGTCGTCTCTGTCACCCCTTCTCTATCTGTACACCCCTCTCCACCTGTCACCTGTCACCCCCTCTACCTGCCCACCTGTCACCCCGTCATCTGTGACTTCTTTTCTACCTGTCCACCCCTCTTCATCTGTCACCCCACCTGTCCTCTCTGTCACCCCCCTCTACCTGTCCATCCCTCCGCCTGTCACTGTCATCTCTGTCACCTCCCTCTACCTGTCCACCCCTCCTTATCTGTCACCCCACCTGTCCTCTCTGTCACCCCCCCACCTGTCCATCCCTCCACCTGTCACTCCATCACCTGTCACCCCCTCTCTGCCAGTCCACCCCTCCCACCTGTCACCCCCATTGTCATCTCCATCACCTTCTTCTCCACCTGCTCACCCCTCCTCACTTGTCACCCCCACCTGTCATCCTCCCCACGTGACCTTGGAGATGCACTGGCTATCTGGTTCTGCAGCCCCTTCTTTCCCACCTTCTGTCACTTGTTCTGTGTCCCGTGTTGACCAACGTCTAGTTGGAGCCCTGACCCCAGGCAGGGATGGAGACCACCCTCCCGCAGCACCGCCAGGGCCTGTCCTTCTGTCGGACACACACAAAACCCATGGACAGAACTGCCGCCTCCCTGGCAGCAGGGCCACGCGCACCTGGGAGGCCCGTTCTCCCTCCCTAGCTCCTCGCACCTGCCTGTCCCTCCCTCTGTGCCCGACACGGAAAGCAGCAAACACCACCTGCTTGCACGTGCCCAGCTCCTTCCTCCTTGGAGTTAAAGGCTGCTTGTGGTCACGTTGTGCCCAGCCTGAGATATTTATGGGTGGATGCCCGGTTGAGTGCGCAGCAAGGCAGAAGAGGTCAATGAGTTTCTAGAGTCTGACCCCAAGAGCCATCGTCTGCACAGGGAGAGGGGATGGAGCCACCCGGAGACCCAAGGCTTCTGCCCAAGGTTGGGGGCCCTGGGCTTTTTCCCATGCCACACTGTGGCCTGCAGGAGCAGCCATGAATGGGCTTGATCACCCTGGCAGAGAGGAGGCCCGGACCTCCCTGGGGTCTTGGGCAGTCGCCTCTGTGGGGTAAGCTTCCCATCCACAGGGATTTCCTGGCGCTCCCGTGAATGTGTGTGTCCAGATCTGCGTCTGGGGGACATGGAGCAGCCAGGGCTGCCAGGCGAGGTCCACTGCCACATCTGACAGAGGCCCTGCTCTGTGTGGCCACTCCTAGCCCAGGACCGCACGTGGCAGGGACACCAGGACAGGCCCGTTCCTGGGAGACAGCCGAGTCCCTCTACAGGCAGCTGTGCCCTAGGACTCCCCAGCTGCCCTGCAAACTGCTCCAGAACTGCACGTGTTCTCAGGGGCTGCCTGGCCTTCCGTCTTCACTCTCCTTCGCCTGGGTCAGGGCTGCCTCTAAGTACCGATAGTGGCTGTGTGGTCCTGGCCATGTTCTGACACAAAGTAGGAATCGCACATCTAGCGCCCCAAGATTGTCCATCCTTGAAATTAAAATTAAACAAGGTGGCGAGTTGTTGGGTGGTGGCCATTGGGGAGCAGTCCAGGGGAGACTTGAGTTGATGGAGTGCTCTGTGTCTCCATGCTAATGATGGTTGAAAATCTGCACAAAGAATAAATTTGCATAGAATTCTATGTACACAAGGAACAAATTTGCATAGAATTCTATGCTCCCAAGGAATACATTTGCATAGAATTATATGCACCCAAGGGATACATTCACATAGAATTATATGTACACAAGGAATACATTTGCATAGAATTATATGTACACAAGGAACAAATTTGCATAGAATTATATGTACGCATATTGGAAATCACACTTGCATAGAATTATATCATATACACAAGGAATAAACTTGCATAGAATTATATGCACCCGAGGGATATATTTGCATAGAATTATATGTACACAAGGAACAAATTTGCACAGAATTATATGTACACACGGAATAAATTTGCATAGAATTATATGCAGCCAAGGGATGCATTTGCATTTGATTATATGTACACAAGAAATAAATTTGCATAGAATCCTATGTGCACATGGAATAAATTTGCATGTAATTATGTATACATACAGAATAATTTGCATATAACTATATATACACGTGCATACAAATAAGCGCATATAAATCTGGTGAAACCCAAATCAGCGCTGTGGACTGTACAATGTCTGTTTCTTAGTTTTGATACTGCTCTACAGTTATATAAGATGTACAACAGTTACACAACTATAGCTACACAACTGTACTTACCATTGGGGGGAATTGGGTGAAGGATACATGGAACCACTCTGTACATTTCTTTTGCAGTATCCTGTGACTTTATAATTATTTCAAAATTAAAACAAATTTTTTAAAGTAACCTGTTTCCTTGTTGTTTGTAGAAAGGACCTGTAGATGAAACTGGTTGGGTCATTAAAAATGTTTTGTCCCTGCCTATTGTCAACAAGAAAGAAGACATCGTGGGCGTAGCCACATTTTACAACAGGAAGGATGGAAAACCTTTTGACGAGCATGATGAACACATCACTGAGGTGCGTGTGCTAAGAAAATCACGGAGGTAAGGGAAATCCACAAAATAACAGAGCTGATTGCTTGCTATTCTGCAACAATATTTTGAAGGGCAATTAAGACATGAGTCACACATAGCTGTAGCCAATGTGTTGTTATTCTGTCATTTCTATTTCCTGACATCTATAAACTGTAATAGTTTCTACCCAGGTATAAAATTTTGGCTTAGCCGGGCTCGGTGGCTCAGCCTGTAATCCTGCGCCTTTGGGAGGCTGAGGTGAGTGGATTGCCTGAGCCCGCGGGTTCGAGACCCACCTGGGCAGCAAGACCTTATCTCTACAATAAATAAAAAAAAATCAGCCGAGAGTGGTAGCGCATACCTGTATTTCCGGCTACTCGGAAGGCTGAGGCAGAAGGATCGCCGGAGCCCAGCAGGTTGAGGCCGCGGTGGCCGGGAGCGGCCACTGCACTCCAGTCTGGGCGACCGAGTGAGACTCCAACTCAAAAAAAAAAAAAAAATTTTGGCTTAAGTCCGGGCACGGTGGTTCACGCCTATAATCCCAGCATTTGGGGGGCTGAGGCAGGAGGATTGCTTGAGTTCAGGAGATGAAGACCAGACTGGGCAATAGTTTTCGTCTCTAACAAAAAATTAAAAAATTAGCCAGGTGTGGTGGTATGCACCTGTAGTTCCAGCTACTTTTGGATTGCTTGAGTCCAGGAAGTCAAGGCTGCAGTGAGCTTTGATTGTGCTACGGCACTCCAGCTTGAGTAACAGCGAGAAACAACATAAAATAAAAATAAAATAAAAATTTGGCTTTAAATTCTTCACAATGCTAGGAAGATGGGAAAGAAAACTTCCCATCATTAAACAGGAAACCCTGTTTAATCTTTAGTCCTAATTGATGGTATGGGTGTTGATAACTCTCTCTTCTCACAAAGTATTCATGGTGCATGGTACACTTTGAAAAGCAGGAGCTCAGGCAGTGCTATTGTCTCAAGTCAATTATTTTTATCTTTTGAGATAGGGTCTCACTTTGTTGTTCAACCTGCAGTACAATGGTGTGATTCAGGCTCACTGCAGCCTCGACCTCCTGGATTCAGGCAATCCTTCTGCCTCAGCCTCCTGAGTAACTGGGATTACAGGCACATGCCACCACATCCAGCTAATTTTTATATTTTTTGTAGAGTCGAGGTCTCACTATGTTGCTCAGACTGGTCTCGAACTCCTGGGCTCAAATGATTCTCCCTCCTTGGCCTCCCAAACTGCTGGGATTCCAGGCGTGAGCCTCCTTGCTTGGCCTGTCAAGTTAATTATTAGTATGTTTTTCTTAGATTAAAATAAGGAACAGGTTGGTGGTGGAAGGGAGATTGATAAGAAAAGCACCCAAATCATTGTCTCCAAATCGATTTTCCTTTAACCTTAGAGATTCTGAATCACCTTTTATACATTTCAGACTCTCACACAATTTCTTGGTTGGTCTCTTCTAAATACGGACACCTATGAAAAAATGAATAAGCTGGAAAATAGAAAAGATATCGCTCAGGAAATGCTCATGAACCAGACCAAAGCCACTCCTGAAGAAATTAAGTCTATTTTGGTAAGTGGGGAATTCAGTCCCGTGGACATCAGGTGGTATCAAACTTCTGGAAGTCTCCTAATGACCCAGGCATCTGACAACTGAGAATAGGTTTAGTCCTGGACTGAGAGCGAGACAGAGATGGATGGGTTGGAAGAGGACACCAATGACCCAGTATACACAGACCCTTACTGGATATACAGCCCTCTTGGTCAGAATAGCACTTTGCTAAAAACAGCTCCTCGGTCTGTAAGAACTAGAGGAATAATATCTACAAGAAAAAAAATTTCTGGGAAAGGAAATTTATCAGTCAGCTATTGTCATGTAATGCTGTGTAACAATAACCATAACATGGCAGTGGTATTGGTTGTGAGCAAATATCGCTCACTCGTGCATTTGTGGGTTGACCAGGCTTTGATGGTCCTTGTCTCCAAGCTGTGAGTTGAGTTTACTTCATGTGTCTCTCAACCTTCTTGGGCCCGCAGCTGATAGATGTCTTCTCACACTGATGGCAGATGTGAGTAAGCCCAAGCCTAACCTGTGAAAGCACACTTAAGTCTTTGTTCCCATCACATTCATGAAAATTCTCATTGTCCAGAGAAAGTCACCTCACCAAGCCCAACATCATGGATGATGGAGAGCCACAGTGTGCTCGTCTTTACAAAAACGAAGGGAAAATAGCTTGTGTCTACCATCTCGGTTCCTTTTATTTCCCTCACTTTTAGAGTGTGTATCGGTGTCGTTTTGCTGGAGTGGTTTTTATTTTTATTTTTACTTCTTGGTTTGGTTTTGCTGAGTGGTTTGAGAGTTAGAAATTTTGTCTGAGATGATAAAGATGAGACGGTCTTGGAAGAAGAAATGAAATTGTTACAAGCGAATAGAAAAACAGATATATGCCACTCATTCTCTTTCTTTCTTGCCTACAATACACACAGCTCACACCTACTGGCTGTTTGTGGTTGCTGTTGTTTTTAAATGACAGCTACTGTTACCATTTTTGGAGAATTCAAGACGTCGATTTACTGTTACCATTTTTGGAGAATTAAAAATATCAATTTGATTATTTATCGGGGGGAAAACTCTTGACAGTCAGGCGGGACCAGTTTACTTTGTATTAAGAATGCATCTTTGTCATGGAACTCCATATATTTTGAATGTGTCTTAACTGATTTGAATAGTAATCAGACAGAGGGCTCCTTCGAAGGAATTTCTCACTTCAATTACTTTTGCATTTTAGAAATTTAAAGAGAAGTTAAATGTCGAGACACTTGAAGACTGCAATGAAAAACAACTTGTCACAATTTTGGTAAGTGTTTTCTTTCTCACCTTAATGCCTGTTAAATAAAATACATTAGGAAGCGACCTCTTGCTTTTCCTGTAAATGTTGAGTTTCCTCTTCCCTGACAACTTTCAAGGCTAAAAAGAAAGGAAATTTCTGTGAATGACTGATCTTCCCTGTTCCTTCATCTTTTCCCTTCCGCCCAATCTACAGGGATGATTTAGAGTCGCCGCTAATCTAGACCGCTGCATAAAGGACTTCGGGCACAGAATCTGGGGATATCATGGCATAGTCCCTTTTAATAGCTTTGGGTCACACCACGGACACCCCAGGGGACTTGGTAGTTACAGCAGAGCACAGACCCTTCTAGACCCAACCATCTTGCCATCTCCAGCTGCTTTTCTGGAGTCTGAAGGAATTCCATTCTTTCCTGTTGTTGCTGGTGGGACACCCCTGTTGTTTCTGATTGAAATTAACTTCCTTCCATTTCACTGATTTTGTTTTTTGTTGTTTTCAGTCAACTGCTAAACTCAGTAAGTTCTGAATTTCAGAGATGGGTTTTTTTTCCCCCCAGTTTTGGAATGTACATTTAATTTTTTTCCTTAAGGTTCTAGCTCGGTATCAAAACTTTTCATCATATTATCTATTTTAATTATCTTTCCCTGTATTTTAAAAAACATATTGATGATTATTGTTTGAAAGGATTCCTTTTAATACCCGAATCACCTATTGATCTGGTTCTACTGTTTATTTTTGCACTTGGGTTTTAGTCGTTTGATCCTGTCTTAAAGCATGCTTCATGCTTTTAATTAATTAATTAATTTTTTATTTTTTGAGTAAGAGCCTCACTCTGTCACCCTGGCTGGAGTGCAGTGCACAATCATGGCTACTGCAGCCTCAACCTGCTGGACTCAAGCGATCCTTCCACCTCAGCCTTCCAAGTAGCTGGGTCTGCAGGCGTGCATTATCACACCCAGCTAATTTTTTGATTTATTGTAGAGGTGAGGTCTTGCTACGTTGCCCAGGCTGGTCTCGAACTCCTGGGCTCAGGCAATCCTCTCGCCTCGGCCTCCCAAAGTGCTGGGATTACAGGCATGAGCTACTGCGCCTGGCTCTGCTTCAATGCTTTTTAAATTAAAAACCAGACATTGTGAATACAAACCTGTAGGGCTCTGAGTGATATTATCTTTCTGCAGAGAGGGTTAGTTTTTCTTCTGGCAGATGAAGAGAGTTGGTTTTTGATTTTGTTGGGGATAATCTTTCTTGGTTCTCCTCTTACTACTATGATGGAGCCCTTATTTCTGCGGCTTTTCTGGGATCTCATGAAAACTTGGGGTACTTACCAAGACCTCTAGATCCATCCATTTCAGAGGCTTGGATTCCATCTGATTGAAGTGGAAATAATATCACATTTAATTTTCTTACTAACTGCTACATCCTGTTTTCTGCTGCCCCTTTCCAATCTGTCATGTAAATGATCTTTCTAGACAAAGACACATTGACTGTCTTACCTTCTCCCTTCTCAACTTTTTTTTAAATAAAAAAAAATTCTTTTTGTAGAGACGGGGTCTTACTATGTTGCCTAGGCTGGTCTCAAATTCTGAGACTCAAGTGATCCTCCTGCCTTGCCCCCCTCCCCAAATGCTGAGATAGGAGGCAGCCACCATGCCTGGTCTCCCTTCCCATCTTTTTTGGGTTGTATCTGCCCACCCTGGCCCTTTGCTCTGCTACCAAAGGGCCATTGGCCTTTGATCACTTTTTGAGGGCTCAGTCCCCACCTCCAGCTTTTCATAGTACCTTAGCTCTCTTTGGTCCCACTTTCCTCGGTCTCCCTCTGAGCACCATCCTCTCTGCTTGGCCCCGAAGACGATTCTTCCCTTCATCTACCCTCAGCAAGAGGCAACTTCTTGCAAAACAAAACCTCAGTTGACATCCACGACACTAGAAATTCTCTGGTTCTCTATTTAGAGGTGGAAGAACCCCAGTTGCAGAAGCAGTAAAATGGGCCAAGAGCCCATAGATTTACCAAAAACAAAACCAAAAAACAACAACAACAAAAAGCCCATCCTGTTTTGAACGTAAAATCTTCTCTGGGCTAATCTCAAATCATTGCTGCATAAAACGTAGCAACTTAAGCAAATATTTCAGAGGCGTTCTCCAAAATTATCGTGACGTTGTTTCTCAGCTACAGAATGATTCATCCATCTCCACAAACACCAATTCCTTCTCCAGGTGAGCCCTGTAACTTAGGTTCAGGGAAGGCTCCATCCTGTTTTCCAGGTGTAACAATAGTACTGGACAGGAGTGGGAGGGGCCCGCCAGGTTCAGGGGCAAGCCATTGTTTGGCTTCACACAGCCGTGGACCATTTGGCGCTGAAATTTGCACCAATAGATCAAGAGCTGTTCCCGGAGAAACCTTCAGCTTAGGGAGGGAAGGGGACCTGCTTTTCCCGTGTTTGTGTTGTTAGTGTAATATATATATATATATATATATATATATATATATATATATATATATATATATATATATATATATATATATATACACACACACG